GCCGCTCCGGGCCTGGCCACTCCCAGCCTGGCAGCTGCTGCTCCGGGCCTGGACGCTCCTGACCTGGCCGCTCCCAGCCTGGCAGCTGCTGCTCTGGGCCTGGCCGCACCCGACCCGGCTGCTCCGGGCCCAGCTGCTCCGGGCCTGGCTGCTTCGGGCCTGGCCACTCCCAGCCTGGCAGCTGCTGCTCCGGGCCTGGCCGCACCCGACCCGGCTGCTCCGGGCCCGGCTGCCCCGGGCCCGGCCACTCTGAGCCTGGCAGCTCCCAGCCTGGATGCTCCGGGCTTGGCTGCTGATGTTCTGAGTCTGGCTGCTCCCGACCCGGCCGCCCTGGGCTCGGCTTCTCAGGGCCCGGCCACTCCGGGTCTGGGTGTTCCTGGACTGGCCACCCTGGGCTTGGCCGCCTCCGCCTCAGGCCTGGCTGCCACTGCCCCAGGTCTGGCTGCTCCAGTGCTGGCTGTTGCTGCTCTGGTTCTGACCGCTGCTGCTCTGGGGCCTGGCTGTTGTTGCTCCAGGCCCGGCAGCCACTGCCTTGTGCCTGGCCACTCTAGGCCTGGCCACCGCCGTTCCAACATTGTGTCCTTTTTTTTTTTTTTTTTTTTTTTAAATGCATTTATGTTGCAATGTTGGCTGCTGAGTTGAGTTCTGACTTAGTCTTCGATTTTTCAAGATCTTCTTTGTATTCTTTCTTAAGTAATTTTACTATCTTTTGCTCTCACTTGATTTCTTCACATTGAAAGCTTCTTCAGTTTCTTCCTCCTTGTCCTGGAAGCTCAGCAGGTTGGCCTGTGGCACCCCTTTGTTCTCCGCGGGCTCCTGTGCTGCTTCAGCCTGTTGCAGGGGTCGGCACCGCCCAGGAAGCAGCCCCTGGCCTCGGCTCCGTGGCCTGCGCTCAGGGGTCGAAGGCTCAGGGGCACCCCCCCCCTGGGGCCCCTTCGGGGGCTCCTTCCTGGTGCCTGGCTGGCCGATGTCCAGCAGGGGCTCCTGCTCCTTGTCGCGTTCCTCCAATCTGGAGCTTTTTTTCTCCTTCCTGCTAGGGGCGTCTAGCATCAGAGTCAACAGACTGTCTTCTGCGCGCAATGTGCGTGGCTCCGGGGGCTCGCTTTTCACTGCTTCCCCAGGACTCTACCTCACAGCCCCATCTCCCTCTGCTTGAGCCTGGGTCCCCAGGGATTGGCCTAGAACTGGGGTTCAGAGCAGTCAGGAGTGGGGCTCAGCACCACCGGAGGTTTTGTTTCTTCCTGCCAGGGCAATTCAGCATCAGGGTCAACATTCCGTCCTCTGCGCGCAATGTGCGCGACTCTGGGGGCTCTGCTTTCGCCGCTCCCCTGGGATTCTGCCTCACAGCCCGTCTCTCCCTGCCCGAGCCTGGGTCCCCAGGGTCTGGCCCATAACTGGGGCTCAGCGCTGCCGGTTCTGGGGTTCAGCCCAGGCCGGGGTTTTTATTTCCTTCCTGCTAGGGAACGCCAGGCAGGCACCCAGCCTTCTCCTCCTTTCCGGCTGCATCCTCTCCGCGTGTGCGTGTGCGTGCACGCAACATGTCTCCGTACCTTAGGATTTTTCAGCTCCTCTGATTTTCCTTCTGGTTTTCTCTTTCCTTCTTGTTGTAGAATTTTCAGTCAGTCGACTACTTGTAGCTCTGGGCAATGTCCACTCTACATTTTAGTTGTATTCCATTGAAATTGCTGTGTGCTACTGCGGTTAGGTGTCTACCTGAGCAGCCATCTTGGATCCTCTCTTACTATAATTTTTTTAATCTACTCATTTGCTGATGGGTACTTAGGCTATTTCCAAATATTAGCTATTGTAAATTGTTCCTCTATGAACATAGGGGTGCATATATCCATTCTAATTGGTGTTTCTAGTTTCTTGGCATCACAGTTTTTTAATCCACTCATCTGCTGATGGGCACTTAGGCTGTTTCCAAATTTTACCTATTGTAAATTGCGCTGCTGTGAACATAGGGGTACCTATAGCCTCTCTGATTGATGTTTCTAATTTCTTGGGTATATTACTAGAAGTGGGATGACTGGGTCAAATGGGCATTCCATTTTTAATTTTTTGAGGAAACACCACACGGTTTTCCACATTGTTTGCACTAGTCTGTATTCCCACCAGCAGTGCAAGAGGGTTCCTTTTTCTCCACATCCTTGCCAGCACTTGTTGTTTGTTGATTTGTTGATGATAGCCATTCTGTCAGGTGTGAGATAGTACCTCATTGTCATTTTGATTTGCTTCTCTCGGATTATTAGTGACTTTCAGCATATTTTTATATGTCTCTTGGACTTTTGTATGTCTACTTTCAAAAAGTGTCTATTTAGTTATTCTGCCCATTTTTTAATTGGATTGTTTATCTTCCCTTTGTTAAGTTGTATAAGTTCCCTGTAAATTTTAGAGATTAAACTCTTATCTGAAATATCATTGGCAAATATGTTCTCACATGCAATGTGATTTCTTGTTATTTTGTTGATTGTTTCTTTTGCTGTGCAGAAGCTTTTTATTTTGAAGTAGTCCCATAAGTTTATTTTCTCCTTACTTTCCATTGCCTTAGGAGCTGTATCGGTAAAGATATTGCTATGACATATATCTGATATTTTGCTGCCTCTGGATTCTTCTAAGATTTTTATGGTTGGTGGTGAGCTGGCCATCAGGGGGTCTGTTGGGGGTGAGCAGGCTAGAAGGGGGGGCACTTGGGGGTGAGCAGGCCAGGAGGGGAGGGCAGTTGGCGATGAGCAGGCCAGCAGGGGAGGGCACTTGATGGCAAGCAGTCTAGAAATGGTCAGTTGGGGGCGATCAGGTCAGCAGGGGTGTAGTTGGGGGGTGAGCAGGCCAGCAGGGGGGCAGTTGGGAGTGAGCAGGCTGGGAGGGGGGCAGTTGGGCATGATCTGGCTGGAAGGCCAGGAGGGGAGGGCAGTTGGGGGTGGGCAGGCCAGCAGGGGAGGGCAATTGGTGGCAGCAGTCTAGAAGTAGTCAGTTGGGGGCGAGTAGGCCATCAGGGAGGGGCAGTTGGTGAAGAGCAGGCTGGATATGGGGGGCATTTGTGGGCAAGCAGGCCAGCAGAGGGGCAGTTGGGGGTGAGCAGGCTGGGAGGGGCAGTTGGGGGCAAGCAGGCCAGGAGAGGAGCAGTTGTGTATGATCCGGCTGGAATGCGGGGCAGTAGGGAATGGGCATGCCACCAGGAAAGGGGAGTTGGGGGTGAGAAGTCCAGGAGGGTGGCAGTTGAGGCGATCAGGCTGGAATGGGGAGTAGTTGGTGGCAAGCAGGCTGGCAGGGGAGGGCAGTTAGGGTGAGCAGGCCAGTGAGGGGGCAGTTTGGGGTGACCAGGTTGGCAGGGGGTGGGCAGTTGAGTGTGAGAAGGCCAGCAGGCAGAGTGGTTAGGGGCAATCAGACAGGCAGGCAGGTGAACGGTTAGGAGCCAGCAGTCCCAGATTGCAAGAGGGATGTCCAACTTCTGATTTAGGCTTGATCCCACAGTAGTCCCATATTGGAGAGGCTGCAGACCGGGCTGAGAGACACTCCCCCCACAACTACTGTGCATGAATTTTGTGCACTGGGTCACTAGTTAGAGTATAAAAAAAGCCATAGATTTCTAAATATCAATTTTGTAATAAAAGGGTAACAAGCTAATTAGACTAGATGTCCTTCTGGATGATCTTCCAGACAAAGCTGTGGCAGCAGGGGCCGAGGCAGAGATGCCTGCCACAGTGGGTGGGGGCTGAGGCATCTGCTGCCACAAGGTGGGGGGGCGAGCCTCTTGCACGAATTTTGTGCATTGGGCCTATAGTATAGAATATGTGTGTATCTGTATAGATATATGTATATGTATTTTTATGTACATACATGTATGGATGTGTGTATACATGCAGATATTTCCTAGTTCTGTATATTGAAAAGTCAGAAAAATGAGACACCCCACTAACACACCTAGCACTTTTATTATTATAGATGTTAAGATGTATATATAGATATCCATATTTAAAAATCACAAGTTCACACAGTCCTCATTCCAATAAACAGGATTCCTTTTTTTTATTTTCCAATCCATGCTTTTATTCTTCTTCTTCTATAATAAGAATCCTGGTTCCCAAGAACATCAACACATTTACTCTATATTGTAATATTTCTGAGTTTCAAAATTACTGCATCTATACCATCATAATAAACAAACCTGCTAAGAAGAGGTCCATATTTATTGGCAATATTCCCTGACGCTCCACAAATTCACTCTGATTGATGGTGTATATATTGAGGGTATACTGTATAGTCTAATATTGTGTTTACTTAAGCTAATTGTTTTTATATTATCTTTTTTTTCTTTAGTATGGTTATGGTATTTATTTGAAATATAGGTTAAATTTATTTTATTTTAAAAGTAAAAAATTTAATTTTACTGACATTATTTGTAGATCCAGGATCTCTCCTACTGTTCAATACAATTAGTCATGATATGGGGTGGAGCTCCTCAGAATTCCATATTAAATATCTCTTCAATGAAATGGAATAAATGTATCACAGGTAGTGTTGTGTTAGAGCTTGTCACTGAAAACGTAGTTTACTTTAGTATACCCACTCAACAAAGCCAGTTATATTCTCCTCCTCCCCCAACCTCTGAACATCTTATGGGGTGACAGTGAAATGTGATATTAGCAAAACATCTTTTGGAGAATTTGCCATCCAGTATGCCTAACATGAAGATAAGAACTACTTACTATATTTCTTAAATAAATGAGGCATATGGCCTGCTGGCCGTGAGTTTGATGTGCTTGATTTAGGGCTGCTATTTAGCTAATAATTACCAGTTGTACTCAATGCTAGCTTTCACTGTGATTAGTCCACACCAGTACTATACTGATTGTGAGATATTTTGATTATTCATGGAATACTCAACCAAAGTGTGTAGGGTGGGGATGTGGATCAGGACTTTCCTATAAGAGCCACCTCTTGGGTAATTTATTGTTCTCTCAATTTCTTTGCTGCTTTTTCTCCCCTATTTTTTGTAGGCTTCTCAGAGTCCACCTGACCAACCTAAGAAGGAAGCCAATAAGAAGGTTGTTAAAGACAGTTCCAAGAAGATAAACAAGAACACACCTGCTCTGCAGTTGGCCAAAAACAATGAGATAAATATAAAAAAGTAAGAGGTGACACAGATGGCATTGTTTTAGATGGTAAAAGACAGTGTGTGACATCCTTTTGACTTCCTTTTTTCCACATTGAAAACATGTTTAATAAGCCATGTTGGTGATTACTACATTAACTTTGGTTGCTGAGGTGGGCTCAGCTGTGGTTGCTAAAATGTTACAGGCCTCTTTTCTCCCTCTCTTTTTCTACGGGGTGTTTGCATATTGAAAGAGCTGTCATTGGAGAATTTGCCAAAAGATCTTGTGTTCACGTTTTATATCTTTTAGTAATTCAGTCCCTGTTTGAATTATCTGTACTTGAGAGTTTGGGGGCCACTTAAATTTTTAGAGAATTCTTAGCAGCTATTTGATAGCTTGCTAGTCCGCTTATCCATTAGAAGCTTTAGAGGAGGTTTTCCCCTTGTTATTGGATAGAGATTACTGTTTCCCTAGTCCAAAAACATGTGTTTTCCAGATGTTACAGGGAAGTGTTGATAGGTTCTGTAAATACGGTAGATATAAGTATTCCCATCTAGGATTAGAGAAAGGATTTGACCTTAGGAAAAATTTTATTGGAAGAGAAGTTAGAGAGAGGAGTGAGATGTTTCTATATCTTCTCCTTAATCTAGTGGGAATTACTTCTTCAGGGAAGAATAGAATAAGTGAGATAGATATCTATAATGGGGCTAAGCATGGGTTCCAAATGGTAAGGGGGGCAAATTGGGGAACTTCAGAAAATTAACATGTCAGGTCCACAGGACACTGTGAATTACCTAACTAAAAGCAATCAAACCAGAAGATTAGCAGTTAGCCCTACTTGGTTTATTTTTAAAATGTATTTTTATTGATTTCAGAGAGGAAGGGAGAGGGAGAGAGAGATAGAAGCATCAATGATGACAGAGAATCATTGATTGGCTGTCTCCTGCACACCCGCTACTGGGGATCCAGCCCAAAACCTAGGTTTGTGCCCTGACTAGGAATTGAACTGTGACCTGGTTCATAGATCTCCGCTCAGAATAAACCCTGTTCCTTTAGCTGTCTTATCTCAATTCCACCATCCTTCTGACCTCTAAGCAACTATTAATCTATTTCCCATCTCTATAGATTTGCCTATTCTAGACATTTCATATAAATTATATAATTTTTAGTCTTATATGTCTAGCTTCTTTCATGTAGCATAACGTTGTAGCAGGTATGAGTACTTCATTCCTTTTTATTTCAAATATTCCATCCCACGAATGGCTATCCCATATTTTGTTTATCCATGCATCAGTTGGTGGACATTTGGGTTGTTTCCACCTTTTAGTTATTCTGAACAGTGCTCGTATGAACATTCATATATCAGTTTTTGTTTGAACACTTATTTTCAACTAGAGGCCCAGTGTGGTGGATGGATTTGTGCATGAGGAGGGGGCGGTCTTCATGCACAAATCCATCAGCCTGGCCTGCTCCCTCTTGCAATCTGGGACCCCTCAGGGGATGACTGACTGCTGGTTTAGTCCAATCCCTGCAGGCCATGCCAGGCAGTCAGACATCCCCCAAGGGATGTAGCAGTGTGCCAAGCAGCAGGGAGGAGCCCACCTGAGCTGAGTTGGTGTCATGATGCTTCTGCTCATGCCAGCCTGCTGTGCCTGCTGCCACCACTCAGTAGCATTGCTGCAGTGTCAGGAGAGGCTCCTGTCGTGGCAGCTGTAAGCCCGGCTTCTAGCTTAGCGGTGATTCCCCTGTGAGAGCACACAGATCACCAAGGGGCAGTTCCTGCTGCATTAAGCATCTTCCCCCTGGCGGTCAGTGTGCATCATAGCAATTGGCCAACTGGTTGTTCCGGTTGTTCGTTCATAACGGTTGCTTAGGCTTTTATATATATACTAGTGATCGGGTACATGAAAATTCATTCACTGGAGGGGGGCTCCCTCAGCAATCAGGCCGGCAGAGAGGGGCCAGTTGGGGGTGATCAGGCCAGCAGGGGGGGCTCCCCGACATCCCTCAAGGGGTTCTGGATTACAAGAGGGCACAGGCCAGGCTCAGGGACCCCACTGGTGGATGATCAGGGCCAGGCAGGGGGGCAGGAGGTTAGCCAGTTGGGGAGGGACCATAGGAGGGCTCCAGGATTTGTTCGGCCCATTTCGCTCAGTCCCAATCAGCTGGACTCCAGCAGCAAACTAACCTTGTCAGAGCATCTGTCCCCTGGTAGTCAGTGCACGTCATAGTGACTGGTTGACTGGTTGACTGTCTGCCCCCTGGTGGCCAGTGCACATCAAATTGAGTGATTGAGCAGCCTTAGCATATCAATAGCATATAACACTTTGATTGGCTGAACAGATGACCAGATGACTGGATACTTAGCATATTACGCTTTTATTATATAGGATTCTTTTGTGTATATTCCTAGTAATGTAATTGCTAGGTCAAATGGCAATTTTATGTTGCACTCTTTGAGGAATTGCCAAACTATATTCTACAATGGTTGCACTATTTTAGAGTCCTACAAGCAATATATGAGGGTTTCTAATTTTCTATATCCCTGTCAATCCTTGCAATCTTTTTTTTTTTTTTTTTTTAAATTATGGCTATCCTAGTGGGTGTGAAGTAGTATCTCCTTTAGATTGCATTTCTCTGACATTCAACATCTTTCATATGCTTAGTAGCCACTTGCATATCTTCTTTAGAAGAATATCTATTCAGATCCTTTGTCCCCTTTTTATAATTTAGTCATTTAGCTTTTCATTATTGAATTTGTAAGAGTTCTTTACATACTCTAGATATAAGTCCCTGATAAGATAAATGATTTGGAAATATTTTTATCCGTTCTGTGGGTTGTATTTTCAATTTCCTGTTGGTGTCCTTTGAGGCACAACCATTTTTAATTTTGAGGAATTCAGTTTATGTTTTTCTTTTGTTGCTTGTTTTTTGGTGTCATCCTATATAATAAAGAGGTAATATGCAAGCTGTCTTGCCCTCACAATATAGCTGCCTATGACCAGGCCAGCAGGGCAGGGGTGTTAGTGAGGGACAACCAAACGACTGAACAGTAGGCTGCATGGGGTGATCAGGCCAGTGGGGGGGGCATGTGAGGGTGACCAGGTTGGCAGGGGGGTTGGCAGTTGTGGGTAGCCAGGCCATCAGGGGGGCAATAGGAGGAGACTAGGCCAGTGGAGGGGAAGTTAGGGGTGTCTAGGCTGTCAGGGGGGGAAGTTGGGGGCAATTAGGCTGGCAGGGGTGTCAGTGAAGGGGAAGTTAGGGGTGTCCAGGCTGGCAGGGGGGCAGTTGGGGGCAATTAGGCTGGCAGGGAGGTCAGTGAGGGGCAACCTAGGCGGGTGGGGGAGCAGTTGGGGGCAACCAGGCCAGCAGGGGGGCAGCAAGGGGTGACCAGACTGGCGGGTGGTGGTGGTCAATAGGAGCAATCAGGCCGGCAGAGAGGGGCCAGTTGGGGGTGATCAGGCCAGCAGGGGGGGCAGTTAGGGGCGACCAGGCAGGCAGGTAGGTGAACGATTAGGAGCCAGTGGTCCAGGATTGTGAGGGGGATATCTGACTGCCAGTTTAGGCCCATAGGCAGTCAGATATCCCCAGAGGGGTCCCAGATTGGAGAGGGTGCAGGCTGGGCTGAGGGGACCTCTAGTATTTAATAAGAAACCAGTGCCAAATCCAAAGTTGTAGAGATTTACGTTTTTAAATTTTATTGAAAAAATTTTTGTTTCACATGTTCAATTCTATAATACATCATTTATATATTGTATTAGAAGCCCGATGTATGAATATTTGTGCAAGAATGGGCTTTTCTTTCCCTGGCTTCCAGCACTGCCTTTCCACTCCTGCCCCAGAGCCGCCTTTCTCTGCTCTGGCCCTGCCTTCCCAACGCTGCCCAGAGGCCCTGAGTGGCTGTGGTGGTGCGGAATGCCTGTGTCATTGCCATGGTGATGATGCAAGCATCCCACCCACAGGTGCTGAGCACCTGTGTATGCAAATTAACCCAGTATCTTTGTTGAGTTAATTTGCATACTCACTCCTAATTGGCTGGTGGGCATCATAAAGGTACAGTCAATTTGCATCTTTTTCTTTTATTAGTGTAGATTGTATGTTCACTACCCCAAGTAAATTCTTCTTCCATCACTATTTATCCCCCTTTACTCTCTTCTCCCTCCCCTTCCCCCTTTTCCTCTGGTAATCACCATACTATAGTCTATGTCCATGATGTGGTTTTTTTCTTTGCTTCTTTTTAAGATTTTCTTTTAAGAATTTTAAAGTTTTAGCTTTTAGGTTTTTTTTTTTAAAAATACTTTTTTTTGGTGGTGTATGTTAGGTGTTTAAATTAATTGTTTTGCATGTACATATCCAGTTGTTCTAGCACCCTTTTCTTAAATAAACTAATCTTTCTCCACTTAATTGTCTTGACAACCGTGTAAAAAATGAATTGATTGTTAAAGGTAAGTGTTTATTTATGAACTTTTAATTTTATTCCATTGATCTACATGTCTGTCATTATATCAGTACCACAACTATCTTGGTTATTGTTGCTCTGTAAGGATTTTGAAATTGGGAAATATGACTCCTTTAACTTTGTTCCCTTTTTCAAGATTGTTTTGGCTATTCTGGGTTCCTTGCAATTCCATATAAATTTTAGAATTCGCTTGTAAATTTCTAATAATACAGCTGCCACTTCCCTTTTAAAAATAATTCATTGGGTTTTTTTGTATTATATTCATAGAGTTAGTTGTATAGCCATCACATCACCACTATCTAATTTTAGAACTTTTTAAAGACTCTGTAACCCCCAAAAAGAAACTCATACCCATTACCAGTCCCTTCCCTTTTCAGTCTTCCTTTCTATTCTTCCCTTCACAGCTCCTGCCCTTTCTCAGCCCCAGGCAATGAATATCCTCTGTGGATATGTCTATTCTGGGTGTTTCGGATAAGTAGAATCATATGATGTATAGTTTTTTGGAGGTACTTACTCTTGTTTAGACTGATGATTGTATTTGTTTTTATTCCTCTTTCTTATTCTGATTTCTAGTCATCCAATGATTTAATTGCACCAAGTTACTCACTCTGATTGGACATGAAATCCTATACAAAACAAAGCTTTGCATTTGACACATGTGAACAATGTTTATTTTTTTTTTATTGTCCTCCACTGAGAAAATATCTTGTGAATAGTCTAGGGCAGTGGTCAGCAAATGGTGGCTTGCGAGCCACATGCGGCTCTTTGGCCCCTTGAGTGTGGCTCTTTCACAAAACACCACTTGCAGGTGCGCATATACAGTGTGATTGAAATTTTGTGGCCCATGCACAGAAGTCGGTTTTTGACCTGGGTGAGTCTATTTTGAAGAAGTGGCGTTAGAACACTCAAGGGGCCAAAGAGCTGCATGTGGCTTTCGAGCCGCGGTTTGCTGACCACTGGTCTAGGGTAAAGAGACTATGGTTAGATACCACGAATGTTAAGTGCCCAGGTTTCACTTTTAAGCCTTCATGAGCCTCTTATATACTTCTCTCTTAAAATTCTCTCTCATAAGCTTTCAACAATATTAATTTCAACCTGAATTTTATCAGATGCCTGGTTCTGATAGACAAAGACAAATAATTGCAGCTGGTGAGGGAGACTGATATGTGAGCAGATCACTCATATAATGCGGTATTACATTGAAAGCCTTTACATATAAATAAAGGTAATACATAATATATGCTAAAAATATAGCATGGATTTCAGGAGAATTTTTTCAGAAAATTGAGGTCATGTAGGCCATAGAAACTATTCACTGTGCTATTTAGTTGATTCACTATGATACATATTGATTTTTACACTCTAATCTGTCTCCTGGAGTTTAAGGCCTTTTCACTTCAATACCTTCATTAAATGTGGCAACAAAATGAGATGGTAAGTGAAGATTCTAGGAACTACATTCTTCTTACCCAGACATTGTTTTCTTTACAGATATGAATTGGAACCCTCAACATCAGCAGCTAACACCATGATACTAAACCCTGTGGAAGAATCACTCACTGTGAATGTATCTACCATTTCTAAAGCACCCACTACTGAGGAGGCATCTCTTTCAAAAAAGCCATTAGTTTTAAAAGAGAAACCCACTACTAGGGACACAATCCACATGAAGAGGTCATTATCTTTAAAGAAGGATGTAAATTGGAATAAGACATCTGGATTTGTGGAGCCACAATCCTTGCTGGAGGAGACTGAGAGTGATTTCGAGTTTGTTTCAGAGCCAGTGACTTTTGGGAATAAGCATGAAACTGAGGAGGCAACTTTCCCTAAGAGAACATTACCATCCACGACGTTGTATGTAAGACAAGGGAAGCAGTTCTACTGTGTGAATGAATTGATCTCACTGGACAATAACATTGAAAAGTATTCTATTATGGAGCCAATGAACTTTAGGAAAAAACCTAAAACTGAAGAGTCTACCACCACCGAGAGGCTATTGACCTTAAATAAGTGTACCGCTCAGGAGAAGGTGTCGTATAAGAGGAAGTCACTAATGTTGCAGAAGGCCACCTCCAGAGAGGAGTTGCCCAATAAGGATCCACTTCCTTTTGAGAGTAAGTCTGCCACTAAGGAGTTATGCTTTGTGAAGGAACTGACCTCGATGGACAACAACATTGAAAATGATTCTATTATGGAGCCAATGAACTTTAGGAAGAAACCTAAAACTGAAGAGTCTACCACCACCGACAGGCTATTGACTTTAAATAAGTGTACCGCTCAGGAGAAGGTGTCTTATAAGAGGAAGTCACTAATATTGCAGAAGACCACCTCCAGAGAGGAGTTGCCCAATAAAGAACCATTTCCTTTTGAGAATGAGTCTACCACTAAGGAGTTCCTTTTCCAAGAGTCATTCAAAGAGAAGCACACCACTGAGGGGGACATTTCTGTTGTAAAGAAGCCCTTGACCCTGCAAAAGAATCCAACTGAAGAGGAGTCACTTTTAAAGGAGCCTTTGATTTTTAAGAAGAAGCATACCATTGAGGAGGAAATCCCCAAGGAGGAGCTGGTGTTTGTAAAGAGATATACCACTAAAGATAAGCCATCCTGCTTGAAGAAGCCACTAGTGCAGACCATTTCTGAAGAGAAGTCACTCATTAAGGAGCCATTGTCCTTTAAAAAGAAGCCAACCACTGAGGAGGAGTTCCTCTTCAAGGAATCATCTGTGTTGCCAGAGAAGCATACCACTCAGGGGGAAGTAGCCCTCTTGAAGAAGCCTTGGGCATTGCAGGAGAATATTCACAGTAAAGATGAATTTCTTATGGAGCCAGTTTCCTTTAGGAAGAAATATACCACAAATGAGGCAATCTCCAGCAAGGAGCCATTATCTTTAAAGAAGAAAAAATACACCACTCAAATAAAGATGTCCATCTGCCAAGAAGTGTTGGACTTACAGAATATGATTGGCAAAGATAAGGATTTCTCTGTTAAGCCAGAGCCATTTAGGAAGAATTCCTCAACTGAGGAAGCAATTGATACCAAGACACCATTATCTTTAAAAAGGAAGCATATCATTGATAACAAAGAGGACTCCTCGAAGAAGCTGTTGACTTTGCAGGAGAAAAGCACCACTGACGAGGATTCCCTTTTAAAGAAAACATCGATTCTGAAGAAGAAGCTCTCCACTGATGCAATAATAAGCACAGATAGTAAATTATCTTTAAAGAAGAAGCCCACTGCTCAAGGTGAGGTGTTCCTCTTGAAGAAGCAATCGTCCTTGCAGCAGAAGCCCAGTATTGAGAGGGAATCCCCCATCACAGAAGAATTAACTTTTCAAGGGAAGCTTGCCATCAATGACTCATTCAATTTAAAGAAATCCGCCTCTAGGAAGAAGGTGACCTTTAAGGAGCCATTGGCCTTGCAAGATAATCCCTCCCAAAAGGAAGACACTATTCTTAAAGATGTATCAATCCTCCCAGTTAATACCAGCTCACAGATGTTCACCTCTCCCCCTGAATCCAGAACAGCTAAATCCCTCTCTGACATCCTGTCTATTGTGAACAAGTATCAAACCTCAAAGAAGCACAGTGCTCGTAAATCCAGTTCCAAAAAACGTGTCTCCGATTGGCGGCGTATAGCAAAGAAGGAGGTATTCTGCTCTCTTTTTACATTAGATTAAATGTTCTTTGTTGTCCTAGAGGTAGCTGCTAGCAAAGAGATTTTTTTTCTTAAACAGCAACTGAGCTATATATTTTAAGCTAGAGTAAATCAAGTTGGCCTTGTAGAACTCTTGACTTCCTGATTGGCATAGTGATTCACCTAAGCAATTAGAGAGTATTTATTCTAGGAATATCCACAAGAGCCTGTAATACTGTATATAAATGTATATAGGCTTTGTAGTAGTGTTTACTTCTTGGGAAATTGCCTTTCTTAGTAATTGCGATCTAAATTCAAGTAGGCTTCAGTCAAAGATGAGTAAGTTCATGGAGGCATCTCCTAAGGAAGTTGCTTTTTAAGTTGTAAATTGAAAGGGTAAAGGGATGAGATTTGGCAAGTAGGAAGAGAAATAACCCCCTTGTAGACAAAAACAACCTGAATAAAAGTGTAAAATGATGGAAAAGGCTGCCAAGAAGATGAATTGGGCCAGATCAAAGCTTTGGGATAAGGAACCTAAGAAGACAGGTGACATAAGATGAAATAGTAATATAACAGTGTTGTTGAAGAATATTGAGCTTACCTGTAAAAATGGTTCTAGGGTAGAGCAGACATGTACAAGGAATACTAAGCATTTCTTGGTCACTCAGCAGCATGAGGATTTCAGGGTGCAAGCATGCTCTGTTATGGTCCAGGATGTAAGAAGCTTGAGGAATCTCAGCAAAAGATGACAGTAGGAAGAAAGAAGTCATTCTTTATGTATATATGCTAAGCCTTTCTTGGAATATTTCTTCTAATATGACTTTTTGGTGATTTACAATCAGATAACCATACTGGAGATTATTGATGAGGCCCATTATGATCCATTTTTCAACTTATCATACACCCAAGATATCTTCAAATACATGAAGGAGAGAGAGGTATGTAGATGGCTGGAAGGGAATGGGAATGACATCTAGTTCTTACTTTCTCATCACTTCATCCTTCAAATATGAGTTGAAAGGGGGATAACAACTGTCATCTACTGGTATCTTACTATGAGTTATATATTGTGCTAAATAATTTAGAGACATTATCTTATTTAATTCCCACATTCATTTCATGATGGTAGGTATTTTCCTTTTTTCAGATGGGGGAAACTGTCCATATTCACACAACTAGTATGTGATAGAGTTGAGATTTGAAATAAAGTATTATTACCTAGAAGAACATAAGCCTACACCTCTAATTGCCGAGGAGACAGTCTCAGACACGAAAATAGTCAAGTAGTCTCCTCTGAATAGTTGCTATTAGAGATATTTTCTCTTTTCTATGCAAGTTTCTGGCATCATATATAAAATCACAACCGTTGTTTTACCTCTCCGATCTGGTGAAATTTTCTTCCTCCTTTGAAATCTGCCAGTCTCCTTTACTACTAAGAGTCATCAATTCCAAGTTTTTTCCTCCTGTTTCTTTCAATAGAACAGATGGGACCAAGATTATGTGCCAACTAGAATTTTAGCAGGCCATGTATGAGAGGGAGGATGAATAACTCATATTCTCTCTAGAGGTATAGCTTTTGATTAACTGACTCCAGAGCCTACATTTTTTAGAGGAAGTAAGAAAAAACTTTGCTATGCCAAAAGTGTGGGCCTTAGCTCAGCATTATAGGTTTCACTTGGGATTTTGTTAGAAATGCAGAAAGCTAGACCCACCCAGACCTTCTAAATAGAATGTGAATTTTAAATATCCTCAAGTGGTATATATGCATGTTGAAGTTTGAGAGGCATTGCACTACATAGCATGGCATTGTGCTTTTAAATTTCAAAAAGGAATCATAACCTTTTTGATATTCATCTATAGTCATAGGTATGTTTCTGCCTGTTTCCCCCACTGGATTTCTCAGTATCCACTATGACACTTGAATATCATATGTGTCCATTTCCCAAAGAACTGGGGAAGCAAACTTTGATCTGCCTTTTTCAGATACCAGATGAAAATGAGTTACATCGTGAAGATGTTAATTATGTTAAGTTATAACTTTTTTTTCTGAGATATTAATTGCAAATATTTTTTCTCCGGATACAACTTTTGAACTATAAGAATTGTTTATTAACATTTCTTTCTTATTGTCACCAGGAAAAGTTCAGACTTAAAAATTACATGAGCAATCAGACTGACATAAACATTGAGATGAGGGCCCTTCTTGTGAACTGGATGGTGAAAATGCAGGTGAGGCTGGCAACTCCTGCTTTAAAGAACTGCTATTCTGTTTATCAATTAGTTATTCAGCAATGCCAGCTTTCAGACATGGCATTTCAAAAATTTACTGGGTCTACAAAGCTGAATAAGCCATAGTTCCTGCCTTTGGAAAGCTTATGATATACTAGGGGCTTATTGCACGAAATTTGTGTACTTGGCTCAGCCCAGCCTATGCCTTCTTGCAGTCCAGGAGCCTTCAAGGGATGTCTCAGGGAGCGGGCCTAAGCTGTCAGTCGAACATCTTTAATGCTGCCGGGGAGGTGGAAGAGGCTCCCACCACTGCTGTTTGCTCACCAGCTGTGAGCCTGGCTTCTGGTTGAATGGTGCTCTCCCTGTGGGAGCACACTGACCACCAGGGGGCAGCACCTGCATTGAATGGCCCCTGGTGGTCAGTGCACATCATAGTGACCAGTCATTCTGTCATTCGGTCTTTTTGCATATTAGCCTTTTATTATATTGGATAGGTCAAGATAAGACATGCAGACAAATAAGTACAATATATACTAGAATACACCAAGTACATAAGAAGGTTATAAATTAGATACTGGAGAAACAAATGAAAGAAGAGATTATTTCTAAAAAAGAAGAGAAAGTGATGATATGGTAGTTTAATTCTTCTTAAAATTTTGTAAAAGTATATTTAGTGATTTTGATAGGGGTCAGTGGCAAAGTCTTTCAAGTTTGGATGGAATAGATAATAGCAAGGACAGTGTAGCACCAAATGTGGCGGATAGCTATTTGTCTAGAGTTAGTTGTTGAGGGAATACTACAATGAATATTTAATTATCACTTTATACTAAAGAAAGATAGCCTAGAATAGTACCTGGCACATAGAAGGGTATCAATAAATATTTGTCATATGAATGGAATTGAATGGATTACAGAGATAAAATATTTCTACCAGCTAGAATGATAAACTGAATCTTCTTTTATAATAGCTTTTGTTACTTTTATTGTACAAAACTTCACATTTATTACAGCAGGGTAAGAAATTAAAATTGCCTATGATCTCACAACCACTGTTAATGTGTTTATTTCTTATCCTCCACTTTTATTTTTTAATTTTTAAAATATATTTTATTGATTTTTTACAGAAAGGAAGAGAGAGGGAGAGTTAGAAACATTGATGAGAGAGAATCATAGATCAGCTGCCTCCTGCATACCCACTACTGGGGATATGCCTGCAACCAAGGTACATGCCCTTGACCGGAATCAAACCCGGGACCCTTCAATCCGCAGGCTGATGCTCTATCCACTGAGCCACACCGGTTTCGGTTTATCCTCCCCTTTTAAAGTAGTGGTGATCCATAGGGATGCATGTTCAGTGCGCAGATTACAGAAACACAGGTGCCAGGTCCCATCCCAGATTTATCAAATCAGAATTGTGGGGGTGTCGCCCAGGTACCCTTATTTTTATAAAGCCCTGCAAATGATGCTAATGTACATCTTTTTGATAGAGAATCACAGTTGAATATTGTGGTATATAGTTCTATGAAATTTTAACATTTGAAATAATGGATTTATAATAAATTGCAAAAATAGTATAGAGAGGTCCTGTGTACCCTTTACTCAATGCTAACATTTTGTATACATGTAATATAGTGTCACAATCAGGGTTTCACAGCCTTATTTAAATTTCATCGGTTTTACATGTACTTGTGTGTGTGTGTGTGTGTGTGTGTGTGCTCTATATAATTTCATCATACATGTGAATTTTGTAAGCACCACCATCACCGCAGTTAAGATACAGAATTATTTCATCACTATAAGGATCCCTCATGTTACCCTTTTATAACTATAGCCATCTCCATCCTCTCACTTTCTTGTCTCTAGAAACTCCTAATTTATTCTCCACCTTTATAACTTTTTAATTTCATGAATATTATATGTTTTTAATTTTGATAAAGTCTAGTTTTTAAAAATGTTTTCTTTTTGGATCGTGTCTTTTGTGTTATGTCTAAGAACTCTTTGAGCCGAAACTGGTTTGGCTCAGTGGATACGGTGTTGACCTGCGGACTGAAAGGTCCCAGGTTTGATTCCCGTCAAGGGCATGTACGTTGGTTGTGGGCACATCCCCAGTAGGGGGTGTGCAAGAGGCAGCTGATCTATTATTCTCTCTCATAGATGTTTCTAACTATCCCTCTTCCTCTCTGTAGAAAATCAATAAAATATATATATTTAAAAAGAACTCTTTGACTAAACATAGGTCATGAATATTTTCTTCTATATTTTATCTAAGAGTTTTATACTTTTAACATTAAATCTGTAATCCTTTCTGAGTTAATTTTTGTATAAGGTATGAAGATTTTGAAGTCAAAGTACATTTTTTTTGCACGTGGATGTCTAATTATTCTAACACAATTTGTGAAAAAACACACACACAACTTTCTTCACTAAATTGTTTTGTGCTTTTGCCAAAAATCAATTGGCCTTGTTTGTGTGGGTCTAATTTTATACTTATTTCTATACTCTATTCTATTCCATTATCTCTGTATCTATCCCTTTGCCAATATTACATTGTCTTTATTTCTGAAGTTTTATAGTAATTCTTAAAACTAGATAGCTTGATTCTTTCAACTCTTTTTAGCTATTCTAATTACTTTGCCTTTCTATAAATTTTAGAATCAGTTTGTTTTATATATACAAAAAATCCTACTGAGTTTGATTGGAATTGAGTTACCTTTTGTCCAGAAAAGAGTTAACACAATGGACCTAGTACTGCTATCCTTAGAAAGGCCTGTTTGCAAAGTTGGCCCTTGGCTGGCATCTGGGAACTTGACTGATAAACAGTTCCCTGTGCTGCTATAAAACCCTCCCTTAATGATAACTGTGCCTGAACTCTCTGCAAACAATGTGTTTATTCTGAATACCTGCTTTCCTTCTGGGAGATTGGAATTTTGGTACATGCTAAGCACAGGGTGTTTACGTGACCAGCTCCCAATAAAATCTTAGGCACTGAGTCATTAATGAGTTTCCCTGTAGACAGTAGTTTATACGTATTGTCACATCTCATTGCCGGAGGAATTAACTAAACTAATTAATCCTAAACTACTCTACTGGGACAGGACTCTCAGAAACTTGCTTTTGTTTTTTTGTCAAACTTTGCCCATGCTTTTTTCCCATTTGCTAATTTTGCTTGTTATCTTTTGCTATAATAAATCAGCCATGAATATGACTATATATGGAGTCCCGGGAGTCTTCCTAGGAATGTGGTCTTAAGGACCCCAACACACATCTATAGGTGGAGTTAAAAATGATTGATAGACTTTCTATGTTGAATCTTTCAACCTATGAATGTATTATGTATTTAGTTAAAAATTTTATTATTATTATTATTATTATTATTATTGCCATATAGATCCTGTACTTGTCTTGTTAGGTTTACACCTTATTTATATTTTATTCTCCTGGAGGTAATGTAAATGGTATTTTTCTAAAATTTAGGTTTCCAGATTTACACTGTTGTTATAAAATACCGATATTTGTGTTTGATATTCATATTCTACAACCTCGCTAAAACTCACTTATTCTTAGTTTTTTTTAAATAGATTTTTAAAAATTTTATTGATTTTTTACAGAGAAGAAGAGAGAGGGATAGAAAGTCAGAAACATCGATGAGAGAGAGACACCGATCAGCTGCCTCTTGCACACCCCCTACTGGGGATGTGCCCGCAACCAAGGTACATGCACTTGATTGGAATCGAACTCGGGACCCTTCAGTCCGCAGGCCAGGCCGACGCTCTATCCACTGAGCCAAACCAGTCTCAGCTTTTAAAAATAGATTTCTTGATGTTATCTATATAGATAATTGTCATTTGTAAATTAAAACAGTTTTATTTTTTCCATTCTGCATGCATTTAATTTCATGTTTTATTGTGCTGTATAAGACTTCCATTATGATGTTTAGTAGGAGTAGTAAGAGTGCACAACCTTGCCTTTCTTTCTAATCTGAGGAAGAAAGCAGTTAGTCTTTCACCACTAGAATGATCTTAGCTCTAGAGTTTTTGTAGATATCTTGCTCAGGTTGAGAAAGTTACTTTCCATTCCTAGTTTGCTGCTGTATATTTATCATAAATGAATGTTATATTTTTTCTTGGATCTATTGATAATATTTGTTTTAGACTATTAATATGGAGATTACATTGACTGATTTTCAGTATTAAACAAGCCTCATATTCCTAGAGTAAACATCTCTTGGCCGCATTATTTTATTCTTTTTATATACTACTAGGTTTTATTTGTTAGTATTTTGTTGAGGATTATTGTATCTATATTTTTGATGAATGTTGGCCCGAAGGTTTGTAGTGTTCTCTTTTAAATTTTTTATTTTTATTGTCTTTGTCTATTTTTTGATATGAGAATGATACTGGCTTCATACAACAATTTGGGAAACTATTCCCCCTTCTTCTATTTCGGGGAGAAATGTGTAGAGTTGATGTTATTTATTCTTTATATGTTTATAGAATTTGAAAGCAAAACCACCTGAGTCTGAAGTATTTTTCTTTTCACCAAACAACTTTAACTAAAAATATAATTTCTTTAATAGTTATAAGATTATTAAAGTTATCTATATCATTTAGATGAATTTTGGTAGTTTGTAGTTTTCAAATAATTGGTCTGTTTCATCGTAAGTTGTTGAATTTATGTGCATATAGTTTATAGAATTTCCTGTATTTCTTACTCTTTCATTCCTGATACTTGATGTGTTTTTCTATATTTTTGTTAATTAGTCTTGCTAGAAGTTTACCAGTTTTATTGGTTTCCCCTCCCTAAAGAATCAGCTTTTGGTTTCATTCATTTTCTCTATAGTTTTTCTATTTTCAAACTTATTCATATCTGCTCTAATTTTTATAGTTTTATTTCTTCATGCTTTGGGTTTAATTTGCTCTTATTTTTAAAAAATATATTTTAATTTATTTTAGAGAAGAAGGGAGAGAGATAGAAACATCAATGAGAGAGAATCATTGATTGGCTGCCTCCTACACACCCCACACTGGGAATTGAGCCCACAACCTGGGTATGTGTCCTGACCAGAATTAGTGACCTCCTGGTTCACAGGTCCATGCCCAACCACTGAGCCACACAGACTGGATTTTTTCTCATATCTTAAGGTAGAAGCTTAGATTATTGATATCGGATTGTTCTTTTTTCCTAATATAAACATTTTCTGCTACAAATTTTTCCATAAGCACTGCTTTAGCTGCATGTTACAAATTTGGAGAGACTTACTTTTTATTTATTCTTACACTATTTAGAAGTCTGTTGTTTAACTTACAAGTGTTTTGAGTCTTCACCATTATTTTTTTGTTATCTATTTCTAGCTTAATTCCATTATGATAAAATAAAACACTATGTATGACTTTAATTCGTTAAAAATTTTAAAAGGTTTATTACCCAGAATATGTCTGTCTTTGGGAATATTCTATAAGCTGTTGGATGGAGTGTTATGTGTCAGTTGGATCCAGTTGGTTGATGTTGTTATTAATTTATGCATTATCTTTGCTGATTTTCTGTATACTAATTATGTTTCTAAAAGAGGAGTACTGAAGTTTTAGTACTGAAACTATAGTTTCACAACTATAATTGTGAACTTGTGTATTTCTCTTTTCAGATTTATCATTTTTTTTTGCTTTGTGTGTTTTGAAAATGTTTTAGAAACATACACATTTAGGATTGTTATGTCCTCTTTATAGTGTTTTGTGACTTGCCTATTTTCTCCTATAACATGTTCATATAATTGTGAACATCTGCTAGTCAAATCGACATATTTCTGCATTCGTTTTGTTGACTGTATAGTATTCTGTTCTTCAGTTGTCATTATTTATCCAACCTCCCATTAGATATTTACTTTATTTCCAAAAATTTCTCTTAGAAATATCCCTGTAGTGAACATGCATACACTTGCATTATTCATAACTGCATTATTATTTTCTGGAATAAGTTACTAGGAATAGAAGCATTAGATCAAAACAATGCACATTACAAATTTTTGTACATAAAGGCAACTGTCCTTTGGAAGAGTCATGCCTATTTGTGCTTTTACCAGTACTCAGTGAAAGTGATTGTTTTCTCATAATCTTACCAACATAGGATAGGGTGTTATATTTTTTTGCCATCTGCTAAGTGAAAAATTTTAGTATGTTATTTTAGGTTTATGTATAGGAACATTGGCATTTAAGTAGTTAGCTGTATTATTTCCTTCATGGTTTTAAAATTTCTTTCTTGCCTAGAAAAGTTTTCTCTAGTGATAATTATTAGTATATGAAGATTTCTTTTCTTTTTTAAAAATATATTTTATTGATATTTCACAGAGAGGAGGAAGGGAGAGAGATAGAGAGCTAGAATCATCGATGAGAGAGAAACATCGACCAGCTGCCTCCTGCACACCCCCCACCGGGGATGTGCCCACAACCAATGTACATGCCCTTGATCGGAATCCAACCTGGGACCCTTCAGTCCGCAGACCGACGCTCTACCACTGAGCCAAACTGGTTTCGGCTAAAGATTTCTTTGAATTTTTTTCTAGAACATTTATAGCTTCATGTTCACATTTACGTCTTTATGTGAAGTCAAGTTACTTGGTCTAGAATGGAGATTTATATGAGACATAATAACTTTTCTTTTTTTAATTTATTTTTTATTGTTGACATTATCACAGATGTCCCCCTAGTAGAAGGGCTGTCACAAGAAGGATTAGCTTATTTCATGTACAGTAGGTCCTTGGGTTAAGTTGGAGATCCGTTCCTATGGCACGATTTAAAGTGATTTTCACCATAAGTCGGTACTCACCTGCATAAGCATCTATGTCACATACATGGAGCACATACACAGCATGAATGAAGTGGAACAGTAAAAAGATAATTAAAAGAAATATAACAATTTCTGACCTTTACTTGTGGTAAATAAATAATAAAAAACATAAAGCACATATGTACATATGTTGACATGATGGAACATTTTTTTAAATAAATGAATGGGAGATGGCAATGTAACCACGAAACGACTTAAGTCGAGTCCGATGTAACTCTGTAGTCCCAAGAAGAATTATGTTAGAAGGTCTTACATTCAAGGAAGAAGGATTGCTATAACTGTCACAGCTGCTGAATTAAATATTTATTGACTCCAAATTCCAACCATTCATTCAGGTATTACCCACACTTTTAGATGTTTCCATTTGATGACAAGCTGCTGCATGGGTGGCCAAGTTCCTATGTTAAGTACTGGCAGGAGGCTACACAAGCACTGGCTGAACTAGTTCCCATAATCATAGTTGAATCTCAGCTGGCCAGGTCTGGTAGCTCTACTGTGCTCAATGCCACAGACCAGGTAGTTAGATTTATCTGAATGTGGTTTTGGAGCTGGACAATGTGCAGATTTTTGCCCTGTTTATGTATTCCTCCAGATTAACTGTGATCTGAATCATGAGAGCCTCTACTTGGCAGTGAAGCTGGTGGATTGCTACCTTATGAAGAAAATATTCAAGAAAGAGAAGATGCAACTCCTTGGTGCCACTGCTCTTCTGATTGCAGCAAAACTTGAGGTTGAGTACATAGGGCCTGGAGAGAACTAATCATTTAGATTTCTATCCAAGTCACATATATCCACATATCTATGTATGTATATATATGTATATATGTACATGTATTTGTACCTATGTCTGTATGAAAATAGTATTTCCTACTAATTTTTTTTAATCCATTTTCCCCACCAGGGTGTTAGGTAGGAATAGTGATGTATTTGTTTTCTGGCATGAATAAGATTCTTCCATTTTCTGTAAGATATATGTATGTGGGCGTGTGCCTATCTAATGGGTTGTTATTTTTAAAGCTTCCTTGTGGCCCAATGATTCCCCCCCCCCCCACTCTTTTCTTCTTCCCACCAACTCTATCTCTTTCAAGTGGAGTCTTGAACTGTATATTAAGAAAGAGTTTCCAAACCTGGGTGCTGGAGACACTTAAGAGAAAATGGCCTGGTAGTGAGTCTAAGTGAAATAGTTATTTTTGAAGTAGTAGTATAAAAGCAAGTAGCTGGGCTTTCCTTTATAACCATAATCTACCTAATTTATCTGATTCTTTCCTCTTCTTTAGATTTTAAATGATCTTGTACAATTCCCATTTTTCCTTCAGATAGGCTAGTTGTATAAAACCTTAGGAGCAGGAAGGTAGTAGATACTTCTACTGAGTTCAAAGAGGTTTAGAACTGTGGGTTTGTTTTTGTGTTCCTCTGCCAGCTCCCTACCTCTCCAGCTTTATCCCTAGCTCACTTCCTGCCTTCCTTCCTCCTTTGCTCACTCACTCCCTACCTAGTTCTTCAGTAACTCCCTCTCACACTCCAACTCTCTCCCTCTCTCTCTCTCTCTCTCTCTCTCTCTCTCTCTCTCTCTCTCTCTCTCTCTCTCTTGCTTTTTCCTTCCTTCTTTCTCTTTACCCCTCAGTTGTTGTCCTTGCTCTCATCTCACTTCTGTGCTCCATTTACTTAAGCCCTCACTTCACTCATGTCCTCTCTCTCTAACAATCTTTCTTCAGTCTTCTCTTAATCCATCCCTCGATTTCACCATCCTTAACTATTTTGCGTATTCACTCAATCATACTGGTTCCCCCCTCTGGCTTTTTCCTTTCCTTTCTGGTTCTCTCTCTTGCTTACTCCCTTACCTGTTCACTTGCTTCCTTGTTTGATTCCCTGCTCCATCCTTCCTTAACTCACTCATCCCCTTCCTCCTTCCCTTCTTCCCAAAGGCACTTTCCTTGTGCCTTTGTTACCCTCATACCCTCCTGCCACTTTCCCACTCTCCCACCATCCCACCCTCACACCCTTCCTTCCCTAGGTCCTATTCCATCCTCCTCTCTTCCTTCCTCTCTCCTCCCTTCTCTTGCTAACTCATCCTTACTCCTTCCCTCCCTTCCTTGTCTCTACCTCCCCTACCTTACTTCCCTTGTGCCTTGCTCCTATCCTCTCCTTGGCTTCCCCCTACCCTACCTCCTCCACTTTTTTTTTCTAATCTGTTCTCCCCTTCCCTACCTACCACACTCACTCCCTAGTTGTGCCCGCCAGCACAGCCAAGGGTTTGGCGAGCCTGAAGGGGGGCTGGCGAAGGATGAAGAAAAGACAGACAGAGAATAAGCTGGGTCTAGGTGGATCTTCTGTGCCTGGCTGAGACCACAGAACAGATCCAGATGGCAAGCTGAACCTTTATTTTATAGTCAGGGGCAAACAAGGTAGTGATCAGGATAGTTACAATGTTCTTGTGAGTTTCACTTGTTTTGGCAGCATTTGCTGCACCTCCCACAGCCCATCAGCTACCCAGGAAGGATCTAGGGAGCATCATAAGGTCAAGCTTAATTATGCTAAGAGGGCTGTGCCCTCTAAGCTGGGACTTGTTTTTGGCTTTGCCAGCAGGTCAGTCTGAGGCTTAACCCTATTACTGATCCCTACACCTAATCTCCTTTTCTTGCTTCCTCTCTTTCTTTTCCCTCCCTTGCTCTCTCCCTCAATGTTTTCCTCTCTGGCTCACTTCCATCCCTATCCACCTGCTCTCTGGTTCCCTTGATCACCCTCCTCCATGCTTCCTCTCTGCTCCTTCTCCAATAGCTTCCTCTCTTGCTCGCATTCTTACTAATTCTCTCCAACTCATTCTCACTTGCTCCCTTCCATTGTCCTTCCCTATTTTGCTCCCTAGCCTCCTTTTCCCCTTTCTCTCTCTCTTCCCTCCTCTTCTCTCATGCTTTCCCTTACTGCGTTCCTTTATGGCTCATTTTTTCTACTGCTTGCTTACAATTTCCCTGGCTCTTTCTCCTCTCTTCTCTCTCTCTCTCTCCTTTTCCCCTTTTCCCTTTCCTTACCTAGGACCATTTTTATGGCTTGAATAAAAATGCCAGTCTCTCGCCGAAACCGGTTTGGCTCAGTGGTAGAGCGTCGGTCTGCGGACTGAAAGGTCCCGGGTTCAATTCCGGTCAAGGGCATGTACCTTGGTTGCAGGCACATCCCTGGTAGGGGATGTGCAAGAGGCAGCTGGTCGATGTTTCTCTCTCATCGACTTTTCTAGCTCTCTATCTCTCTGCTTTCCTCTCTGTAAAATATCAATAAAATATATTTAAAAACAAATAAATAAATAAAAAGCCAGCCTCTCTCCCACTGCCTGTTACCCCAGCAATGCCCCCTTAAAAAAGCAGCTGTGTCCATGACAAGTTTGCTCAGTGGATAGAGCATCATTGGCCTGCAGACTGAAAGGTCCGGGGTTCCTGCAGGAGGTCCCAGGTTCCTGGAGGAGGCAGCCCATCAATGGTTCATCATTGATGTTCTCTCTCTCTCTCTCTCTCTCTCTCTCTCTCTCTCTCTCTCTCTCTCTCTCTCTCTCTCTCTCTCTCTCTCTCTCTCTCTTCCCTCACACTTCCTCTCTGAAATCAATAAAAATATTTTTAAAAAAGCAGCATGGGTCCTTAGAGAGAAGGAGGGAGGAGGAGAGTAAGAAGGGTGGTTCTCAGCAAAGGTTGGAACCAGGAGCATGCCTCTTTTGGTTGCCAGGACAAAGCCCCCCCCCCCCCCACTGTTGTTGTTGTTGTTGTTGTTGATGTTGTTGTTGTGGAAGGAGATCTTCCTCTCACAGGATTTATAAGTACAGAGAGACTTTTGCAAGGGGAGGTGTGGAGATGGTATGAGAAGAGAAGAAAGGAACCAGTGGTGAGTAGAGAAATGGAAGAGATCGTGTTTTTTCCTGTTATTAACCACTAAGTTGCTTTGTGAACTTGAGCAAGTTACTTCTCTCGGGGCCTCAATTTCCTGCCTGAAAAACAAGAAGGTTAATCCAGTTTGTGATCTGAAACTAGAGAGACAGAGCAAAATTTGAATTAAAGGCTGGGGTAGGCAGGTGGATGCTTCTATAGAAAAAATTCAGTGGTCTTTCTTCCTCCAGTCCTCTCCCCAAAATCAAGGTTAGGCTGCAGAGGGTGGGACCTGGGAAGGTGCTCCCAGACAGGGTTCCTCTCACCTTTGGGCTGGCCTGGATCCCTCCTCCCAGTCTAACCCCCATGTACATCCTCCCACCCCCTGTAGTCCTCAGTCTCAGCTTAGGCTCCCTCTGTGCCTGCCTGTCTCACTGCTTGTTACTCCAGTGGTGTCCCCTCCCAAAAATCCTTATTTATTCCTTAGACAAGAACACATAGTGAGGGCTTATCTTCCATCTCTGGCCTCTTTTCTTTCCTTCCCCCACAGTAGGACTTAGATTTCCCATTCCTGGCTCTCACCCATTAAAAGAGAGACCACTGATCCCAACCCTTGTGCCATATTATGTGCTTTCCATGCTGTAAGAATCCATCTCCAGAGGCACTAGAGAAAGCTCTAGTGGTGCAGTTTTGCATCAGATCTCCCTTGTATTTCCGATTTTGTGTTTCAGATGGGCCATTCAAATCAACCAGAAGCTGGCTCTCAGAGCTAACCTGAAGGTTTATTCTAGGAAATGTTATTACCTTCTATCCTTCAACCCCTTCCCCTCTGCTTTTCATCTCCAAGCAGAGGAATGGGTTGTCTTGGCCTGGTGTGACTGTTTCTTCTCTCCACCTGTAGGAGACCCACCCACCTAAGTTGGAGAAATTCCTGCAATTCCGTAAAGAGGTTTATCAGCGACACGAGATACTTGCCATGGAAATGAGCATCCTGAGAACCCTCGAATATGAAATCAACATTCCTGTTGCCTATCAGTATCTGCGCATGTATTCTATGGTAAGAGAGACAAAGCATATCCCCCCCTTCTTCTTGTTGGGTTTGTATCCTCCATACCAAGAGTGACTGTTTGGTAGGTAAAGGGACTGAGACAATTGGGGACAGAGGAATTTCTTCTTCAGTCCGACACGCCTAGATTAGTAATCTTTATGAAGTCTTAGGAGGAAGAAAATTGGAGGTCTGTAGAGTATGCCTGTAAAGTTTTGAGGTGAGGGCAGAGTAGGAGAAGAAGAGAAGATTCTTTTATGAGGAAGGGACATATGAGGACTTTGGGGGAGGTGAATATAAGTTATAATATAAAAGTTATAATATAAAAAGTTATAAGTTATAAGTTATAATGTAAGTTATAATATAAAAAAAGATATAAACAAGAAAGGGGAGAGAGTTCATTTGGAGTATGGAATACATCCAAGGGTGGAACCAGGTGCAAAGTTATAGTTGGAAAGCTTTGGCTCTTCAAAGGATGACTTGTTCAGAAAGAGTATTATAGATGGGAAGGTACCACACATACATTTGGTAATTTGGTTATAAAACATAAAGGTAGTGAATTCTAATGCTAATTTCAGAATTGCCTCCCTTCTCCCCTGCTTAAGATTCTGTGATTTCAAGGGTAGAGTGCCTTAGTGTGAACCATGATGGTAGGAGAAGTACATTGTTTAGGCAGCGAGCCATTTAGGCCTGAGGTGAGATAACTGGAAAGAGTAAGTGACAGGGGTCTTCTGCTTAGTGCTGGTTTTCTGCACTGCTTGCTGAAATGTTCTTTTTGCTCCCTTTAGAATATCCATGTCGACATAAAAACAGTGGTCTTATCCCGATTCATCTGTGAGTTGACCCTGCATGAATATGACTATATCCAGGAAAAGGGTTCCGAGCTAGCTGCTGCTTCCTTTTTCTTGGCCCTCTACATGACGAAGCTGAAAAGCGTGGTAAACACTGACCAGTGGCATGGGGTGGGGATTCAGAAGCACAGGGGTGGCTGAGAAGGAAGGTGTATGATAAATTAAGGCTGTGGGAGATTCAGTGCCAAAAGTGCCATATACCCACAGTTATTAATTCTTTGACCGCCTCAACATCTTAGGATCCTGGCTGCCTAAAGGGTTTCTATTGCAATTATTTTGAAGTATTTTGTACCATTTTTCTTAGTCACAGTTCCAAGGAAAGCGTATCTGAAAACCCAATATCCCAAAACAAATGAATGTGAAATTATTCTGGTTGCAGCAGGGCTGGGGTGGGCCCACTTCCTACCTGACCCCATTTCACCTCTGCCCCTGGTAGTCCCTTCAGCAAGGTTACTCTCTGAGGGACCTTGCTAGAATGGAATTTGAAGCACTGACCCAGAGAACAGAGTATGAAAGCAACTGTCCATGTGTAAAAGGGGACTGATAGGTATACTATAGTGTTTTTCTGCTCTAAAGAGGAAGGCCCCAGAGCCTCCTTCCCCAATATAAATAAAACTCATATTTGATGTTTTCTAAATTTGATGAAAATAAATTTAAATGAAGTTGCTTATGAAAAGCAACTCCAGAGAACTGTGAATTTTTACTGATATGTAAAATACAATCCAAATACAAAGAGTATGCTGACAAAAGTGTATGCTCTTCCCAACCATCCCTGAGCCCCTCCAACTTAGAAGCCCTAGAGCTACAACTGATGAGAAAGCCTCTGGGTGCTGAGAAAGAAGTCTATAAACGGTTGTGTTTATATAAGTTGAGTGCTTGATGATCTAAGCGCTTTGTATGAACTCGTTTAATCTTCTCAATAACCCCACAAGATCAGTATTATCCCTATTCTATGGATAAGAGATACATTCACATGTTTTGCTAGGGAGAGACAGAATTAGGAGTGGCGTACAACCAGTACTGCATAATCAGAATGGTACAGAAAGGAAAGAGAGTGGAACGTTTCGAAGACTCATACATCATAAACACTAACCAATCATTACAGGAGAATAGGTTTCAGCCACAAACTAGTGGCATGACTATGAATTTTTACTCATATGTATGTAACATACAATCCAAATATAGCTCCAGAGCTATGGAGGGCCCATTCTGAGCCAGGCTTTGACCCGTGGATCCTGGGGAAATTGAATGGCTCAAACTCCATTCTAACAAGCTCCTGCAGAGAGTAACTTTGCTGAAGGGACTACAAATTTCTTGCCAACCAGTATGGAAATATTTCAGTGTTTAAACACATAGCATGCTTGTATCAGTGAGTATCAGCTAAATGTCAACCCTGATCTGAATCCTGGTAGTCTGCATTCCACAATCCTCTATGTTATATATCCTGCTTTTATAGGTAAGACAGGTTTCACAAAGAAGGTGATTTTTGAATTGGCTCTTGAAAGGAATTCATGAGAGGAGGCATTCTAGGTAGAGGGAACAATCATTAAAAAAGACATGAAGACAACAATTAAAGAGAATATTATATAGGGGGCAGAATAAGACATTTCTTGTGGATAGAACAAAGGCTATATGAATAAAGAATGGTGAGAGATGAGACCAGAATGGTAGGATGTGTTCAGATTATGAGACCTTTGATATCATGGTGAGAGACCCATTTTATACTAAGGTACTGGAAGTTTTTGAGGCAGGGGAATGACATGTTTCTGTTTGTATGTTTTGGAAATAGTACAGGGAGGGTAGTAGAGAAGGTATATTAGGTGATAGAGTGTAAAAGTGCAACATTGGCAAGTCAGCTTTTGTAATAGTAGTCAAGGTGAAGCTTTGGGACCTGAACTGGTGCAGTGACAATGGGGCCACTATTCTTATTTAACACACTAAATAGAGTAATGTGTTACCGCATGTTACTCCCCTGTTTCGCATGCTAATGACTACCCTTTGCCTGTGGCAGTGGTTTTCAAACAGTATTCGGCAGAGCCCTGGGGTTCTTGCAGAACTGTCTCAGGGCCATATAAAGATAAGGGGATTCAAATTAGTGAGGTTCTTAGCCTTTGCCTCCAATTCCAGGGAAGATATTTGGGCTTCCAGGTAAGATATTTTTAAAAAGGGGGTTTGGGAAAATAATTTAAGATATTTTTATTTAAAAGATATTTTTATGACTTTCAGAGAGAAAGGGAAAGGGAGAGATAAAAACATGAATGATGAGAGAAAATCATTGATAAGCTGCCTTCAGCATGCCCCACACTGGGGATCAAGCCCTCAACCCAGGCATGTACCCCAAATGGGAATTGAACTGTGACCTCCCAGTTCACAGGTTGAGACTTAACTACTGAGACATGCCAGCTGGGCTAATTTAAGATATTTTTTATTTTTTTTAATTTAAGATATTTTTAGAAAACCACTGCATTATAGAATAAATCTTCCTTTCTCTACCTGTGTAGCTCCTCCTTAACTTTCTGCACACATTGTAGATGTTCCCTTTTCTATGAAACTTTCTGCTACTCTCCTAGCCAGAGTTCATGGGTCTATGCCTCCAGCGCCCTCATAGCACTTCCCACACATTTTGTAATTCTCTCTGTGAATGCCTATCTCCTCCACTAGACTATAGATTCCTCAAAGGCAGGAGCTTTGGTCATCTTTATATTCCCAGCATCCTATACAGGGCTTGACAATATTATTAATCTTAGCTGGCATTATTTAGGCACTTACTATACGCTAGTCTGTTACATGTGGTTTATATATATTAATTTAATCATGCAATATAATTACAGTAATGATCCCCATTGGTAAAATGAAGCACCCAAGAGGTTAAATGACCAATTTAAGGCCATACTACTAGTTAAAATAGAATTTGAACCCCAGTAGTTTGCCTCCAGAACATTTGCTCTTAAATACGTTGCTATGTTGCTTCTGCCACATAGTAGGCCTCCTTAAAATTGAATGAGAAAATGAATGCATGTAATGATAGCTGGTAGATTCTGAGAGAAGGAACAGCCATACGTTTCTGTTGGCTGTTGAGTTGGGACCTCAAGTTTGCTCTGAGGTTTGCCTGACCATTAGCTCTTGACCTGAAAGTGAGTAAATTACAACATCAGTCATGTTCCTTGGACTTTTTGATAGTGGATTTCAGCATACCTGAATATCTACGGCCAGGGATAATATCCAGCTGGTACATATGAATATAGCCATACCACTAGTTTGTGGCTGAAACCTATTCTCCTATAATAATTGGTTAGTGTTTATGACGTATGAGTCTTTGAAATGTTTCACTTGCTTTCCTTTCTGTACCATGAATAGGAAGTTTGGATTTGGGATAGTAGTCACAGAGGAAGGGTCTGCTTCCTGTCATAAAAGTTACTGTTTATGTTGCTTCTTTCAGGCTCATTTACTGGATTATCACTTTGGCTACAAGCCCTCTGATGTTTCCCTCTTGATCAGAAAGCTTAACAAGCTGCTGAGTTTGTATCCTTACCATGATAGGTTCAAGGCTGTGTGTTTCAAGTATTCTCACAAGTAAGTACCAAGCTCCAGATGAGGTTGGGTTGGTGCTCAATCATGGGGAGGCCCAGATTAGCCTTGCCTAAGGAAAAAGAAAGATTGAGGTACTTTTTACCTTACTTTCTGCTCCAGGGTTAAAGTAAGATAGGGAACCAAGGGCCCTATATCCCACTTATTCCATGAAGCCTGCTTACTTTGGCCTATTTTATACTGAGCAGATGTCTCTTCCTTTTGCAGGAACTTCTATGAAGTCACCCAAATTCCTGTCTTGAACAAGTTGAAGCTGGAGGAAATTTTGAGCTCCCGCTAATTCTGAAATGAGGGCCTAGAACTCTGGCAGCATATAACTAGACTATATTTATTCTGTCCTTGAAAATTTTTCATCACTTTTCTTCATTTTTACTCTTAGTTTGTCTTTTCCAAAACTGAATGTTATAAATGTTTAAGTTATTTTATGAAAGAAAAAAAAGTATTGTAATATTTATTTAGAAATATAATAAAAATTAATATTTGTTGCTAAAATGGCTCACCTCTCCTTTTTATGTAAAAAAAATTAAAAAATGAATTGAATTTATTTGGGCGACATTGGTTAATAAAATTCTATAGGTTTCAGGTGTACAATTCTACATTACATCATCTGTATATTGTATTGTGTATTTACCACAACAAGTCAAGTCTCCTTCCACCACCAATTATACCCCTTTACCTTTTTCTATCTCCAACCCGTCCTCCCATTTGACAATTACCATACTGTTGTCTGTGTCCATGAGTCTTTATTTCCTTTGCTTAATCACTTCACCTTTCTTACCCTAGTTTCCAACCCCCTTCCCTCTGACAGCTGTGAGTCTGTTCTCTATATATTATTGCATAGCCCAAGGATTTTTCCCCCCTGCCTTGTCAAGGTTGTGCCTCAGAGTGTAGCTTATCTAGTTTCTTTCTCTGTTGGAGAAAGGGGTGTAGGAATTGAGTAGATTTAGGTGTGAATTGATGGATGAGTCTGTAGAAGGAGGATCATTGGAGTGAGGCTGGGGTTGGGTGGTAATGCCCAGTCTAAGGAGGGAGAACTTTACTTGGCAGACAGGCCTCAGTGTTCAGATCTGGACCAACACCCAATATCTTACATTGCTTGTTTTCTTTCCTTCTTCCTAGATGATGAAAAGGCAGGGATCAGGATTTTCACCCCAAGGCAGCCCTACTTTCATAGTTAGGCAGTTTTGTAGAGTCTAAATAAAATAAAATAAAACTGCTTGGAGTGACATGCTGAAATCTTATGGCCTTTATCTTCTGTCAAGAGGAGAAATTTCTGTCCTGGCCAGGTGGCTCAGTTGGTTGGAGCGTTGTCCCATGTAACAAAAGGTTGTGGGTTGAAACCTGATCGGGGCACATACCTTGATTATGAATTTGATCCGTGGTCAGGGTGCATATGGGAGGCAACGAATCGATGGTTCTCTTTAAAACCAATAGAAACATATCCTTGGGCAAGGATCTATCTATCTATCTATCTATCTATCTATCTATCTATCTATCTATCTATCATCTATCTATCGTCTATTTCTACCATCTATCTCTATCATCTATCTGTCATCTATCATCTCTATCATCTATCTATCATCTATCTATCTATCTATCTATCTGTCATCTATCTAATCTATATCTATCATCTATATCTAGTCTTTGGGGTGATGTGTACTGGTACAGCTATCTCATTTGTTCACAGAGGATTTGAACATCCTGTTCCATTTGATAGAGAAACACTGCCTCTAGGACCTCTGGGTCTGCCCCACAATCTAGCCACTGAAACAAGTAATGTCTGTCACAGCAGAAAACCTCTAGGGCTGCCACCTGTTCTGATTGGTCTAATCAGAACAGTTCTAATCCAAGGACATGAAGATTTACTCCCATGTTTTTGTCTAGTAGTTTTATATGTTTAGCTCCTATATTTAGGCCTTAAATCTATTTTGAATTAATTTTTATATATGGTGTAACATAAGGGTCCAAATTCATTTTCTTGCATGTAGATAGAAATCCAGTTGCACCACCATCATTTATTGAAAAATCTTAGTGCCCTAATTGAAAATAAATTGACTGTAAATTTGAGAGCTTGTTTCTGGACTCTCAATTGTATCCCATTTACCCATATATCTATTCTATGCCAGTAACACACCACTTGATTACTGTGGCTTTGTAGTCAATTTTTAAATCAGGAAATGTGCGTTCTCCAGATTCCTCCTTTTCAAGATTGTTTTGATTATTCTGGGTCCCTCATATTTCTATGTGATTTTTTTGGAAGGTGGAGGGGCATTAGCTAGTCAATTTCTGAAAAGAAAGCTAGGATTTTGTAAGAGATTGCATTGAATTTATAGATAAATTTGGAGATCATTGCCATCTTAACCATATTAAATATTCTAATCATGTATTTTGTACCAGTCTCAGCCTATCAGTAACCAATGTTGTGGCTGGACTAGCCTTTGTGTTTCTTATTATGATTGGAGAGACATTCTTAGCAATAACCAGTAGGAAACTTTTAAAGAGACAAGGTTTATTACTTAGAGGTCCTGGAAGTTACACAGCACATCTGGTTCCAGACTAACTGCTTAGTCACACACACACACACACACACACACACACACACACACACACACACCAGACAGATCTAAACACTGCAAAGGTTTTTAAAAACTGAACTGACATTGAGCCTTCAGCCTACAAAGATTGTGAGAACCTGTGGCCTGAAAATCAGATTGCTCGCTAAAGTAAAAATATAAATGTTTCCTATATAATTTACATAAGCAATTTCATAATGTCATATTCAAAACGTCTAGGATATCAACCATATTTATAGTTTAAAGAAGAAAGATCACTTATTAATTGATGCAGTAAAATAATTTGACAAAATTCAGCATTCATCCATGACAAAAATGATCAACAAACTGAAAATAGAGACTTCCTCAACCTTATAAAGGCTGTTACCAAAAATTTTTATGAACATCATATTTAATGGTGAAAGACTGAATACTTTCCCATAAGATTAGGAACAAAGCAAGGATGTCTACTCTCATCAACCCTATGAACATTATACTAGAAGTTATCCAGTGCAATGAGACAAAAAAATAAAAATAAATAGAATACAGATTGAAAAAGAGGAAATAAAATTGACTTTTTTTTTTTTGCAGATGGCATAATTATATGTGTAGAAAATCTCAAAAATTCACAAAAAACCCCTCCTAGAACTAATATGTTTGTTCAGCAAGGTCACAGAACACAAGGTCAACACACACACACACACACAAAATCAAGCACATTTCTATATCCTGGCAATGCACAAGGAAATTCAGACAGCCACATAGTATTCCATTGTGTAGATGTACCACAGTTTTTTGTATCCACTCATCTACTGATGGGCACGTGGGCTGTTTTGAGACCTTAACTATTATAAATAACACTGCTATGAAATATGGATTGCATATATTATTTCTGATTGGAGTTTCAGCAGTCTTAGGATATAATCCTAGAAGTGGGATCATTGGGTCAAATGGCAGTTCCATTTTTTTTTTTTTTGAGGAAACTCCATACTATTTTCCATAGTAGATGCACCAGTCTGCATTCCTACCAGCAGTGTAGTAGGGTTAACTTTTCTCCACATCCTTGCCAGCACTTGTTGTTTGTTGAATTATTGATGGTAGCCATTCTGGTAGGTGTGAGGTGATATCTCAGTGTCATTTTAATTTGCATTTCTCTGATGATTAGTGACATTGAGCATTATTTCATCGTAGATGCCCCTTGCAGGAAGATTCCTGCAATAGGGCTTCCTGCTGCAGTTGCTGCCCTGCCTGCTTCCCTCCCTTCTCCCTGCCCCACCTGCTTCCCTTCCTTCTCCCTCACCCTGCCTGCTTGCTTCTCCGCAGCGCTTGGCTTCTTTCTAAGTTTCTTCAGTCTTCGCTCTGGCCTGGATATGAAAATTAACTGCCATCTTGGTTGGGTTAATTTGCATACTCGCCCTGATTGACTGGTGGGCGTGGCTTATGGGAGTAGTGAAGGTGGGGTCAATTTGCATGTTTCTCTTTTATTAGATAGGATGTCTCTCAGCCATTTGTATGTCCTCTGCCCATTTTAAAAATTGGATTGTTGGTCTTCCTTTTGTTGAGTTTTATGAGTACTTTATGTATTTTAGACGTTAACCCCTTATCACATGTATCATCGGTAAATGTGTTCTTCCATAGAGTGCATTCCATTTTCATTTTGATGCTGTTTTCTTTTGCTGTGTGGAAGCTTATTATTTTGATGTAGTTCCATTTGTTCATTTTTTTCCTTTGTTTCTTTCTATTGCCCTAGGTGAAGTATCAGTGAAAATTCTGCTAGATGAGATGTCTAATATTCTTCTGCCTACATTTTCTTCTATGAAGCTTATAGAAATAGTCTATTTAATATATGGCGTTGGAACAATCTGTATGCCAAAAAATGAACCTTCATTTAAACTTCACTTATGCCCTAGATGGTTTGGCTCAGTGGATAGAGTTTCGGCCTGCAGACCAAAGGGGGTTTGATTCTGGTAAAGGGCATATACCTTGGCTCCTCCCTGGCTTGGGCCTGGTCAAGACACATACAGGAAGCAACCAGTTGATGTGTTTCTCTCACATTGATGTTTCTCTCTGTCTTTCCCTCTCTCTTCTACTTTCTCTAAAAGATCAATGGAAAAATAGCCTTGGGTGAGGATATAAATAAAATAAACCTCATTTGTTTTACAAAAAACTACTTCAAACTGAGTCAGATTTAAAATCTATAATAATAAAAGCATAATATGCTAATAAGACTGGACAGCCAAACGACCTTCCAAACATCATTCCAGTCATCCTTCCGGATGAAGCTGCAGTGGCAGGGACTGAGGCAGAGGTGGTTAGAGGTGATTAGGCAGGCAGGCGAGCAGTTAGGGGCATCAGGCGAGTGGTTAGATATGATCAGTCAGTCAGGCAAGCAGTTAGGGCCGATCAGGCAGGCACACAGGGTGGTTAGGAGTGATGAGGCAGGCAGAGTGGTTAGAAGCGATCAAGCAGGCAGGCAAGCAGCTAGGGCGATCAGGCAAGCAGGTGAGCAGTTAGGGGCAATCAGGAAGGCAAGCAGAGTGGTTAGAGGCAATCAGGCAGGTGAGCAATTAGGGGTGATCAGGCAGGCATGTGAGTGGTTAGGGGAAATGAGGCAGCCAGGCAGAGTGGTTAGGGGTGACCAGGCAGGCAGGCAGGTAAGCATTTAGGAGCAAGTGGTCCCAGATTGTGAGAGGGTACAGGCCAGGATGAGGGAATTTCGTGCATCAGG